CCCGTCGCCCCTCGCCACGCCCGTCGCCCCTCGCCACTCCCGTCGCCCCTCGCCACTCCCGTCATTCTCACTACACCTGATACGACCGCCAGGTATCTCTTTCTCATCTACCGTTCCTTCCGTCACTGCTCAACTCTACCGTCGCCAGTACCGACGAGACCCTGCATAGCAAACATCCGGAATGTCTGTAACTAATATGATGGTCCCGACATTTTTTTGTACCTGAAGTACCTGATGCTTGAGTGACTTTCGAGATTAACGATCTCCTTCAGTCACACAACCCATTCTTCCCACCTCCCGTCCACCCTTCCCATCGCTGCTTACTTTCCCTGCCAAGCACACCGCATACTGTCCCACTGACCCAGGCCTTAGAATCATAATCCCGGGCTCAAATCCCTTTACGTTTTCATGCCCACCACAGGTCTTAGTCTGTTCACTCAGCTCTTAATTCTTTTGGTGTCGGATTCGAAAACTAGGCACCTGTGAGGAGTTCAGTCCCTCGCTAGTAGTGTTGTCGGTGGACAGAACGGATGGGTCACGGGCGCTGAGAACAACAATGATAGGGAGAAGAACGAAGCATCAGGCACTCGCGGGTTCTTTCACTTGAGAGTGCCAGATACGGTATGTTCGGAAGTTAGAACCAATCGGACAAGAGTGGATGTAGGGAGGGGCAATGAGAGATGGGGGAGTACGGGCAGTTTTGGCATTGCAGATAAAAGAACGTGAGACTTTAAGGGCATTTCAGAAGGAGGCGTTGTGTACAGTTACGGGCATTGTGGGTTGCAAGGATATTGTTTTTGAAGGCTCTTTTGCAACGGGTGACTGTGTTTCGAGCATAGAAGGCGGAGGATTAGGTGCCAGGGGCTTTGGAGGCGATAGAAGCATTGGGGTCTTCGCAGAAGGGCATTTAAGGCGGAGAGAGACAGGCGGTGGCAGGAGACGGTGCGAGGGCGGGGTGGGACATTATCCTTCGCCTGGGTCGCGGCCAAGATGTGACGTGGCGTGACGGGGCGGGGTGCGGCGAGGCGAAGCGGGGCGGGACGGGCAGGTGGGCGGACGGCTGTGCAGCGATGAAAACTTCCCAGTGCCGTCTTTTTTCTGCCCCACCCTCCTCGCCGCTCTTTAGATGCCCTCGAGGCACAAAGCGGAAGGCTTTTTCTCTAAATGAGTGAGCCGGCCGGCTCTGCTAAAAATTTTATACGTTTCTCCGCAATTATGACAAATGATGAAACTGCTTTATGTTCGGAATGAAATTGTCACCATTGTCGTGGTTGTTATTATTTTATTCGTTACTTCATTTCTCTTTGAAAATCACCTTTTTATCTTTTTGGTTCTCTTTGCATATCGCCACAGTTCTGTTCTTCTGTCATTTACTTGTTTTTTATTCAACATGGAAAATTACACCAAACTCGAAGCTTAGAATAGAAATTATTATATATTCTGTTACTGATCACGTCATCTGTGTGTTACGTCTGTACGTACGGTTTTACAAATTAGAGAACATTGCATTGGATCTAAGATCACGTTTTTCGCCATGATTAACAAGATCAAGAAAAAACATACTGTTCTAAAAGTATGCAATTCTATTGTGTGTAACAGTGTTTAAATGCGAAATAGTATATTGTATTTTTCTCAAGTAAATATTAAAAATGTTCCTTAATTTGCATACGTGATATTATGCTTTCTGGAGAAATCTTAAAACCATTAATTGAAAAACCAAAACATATGGTATTAAGAGTATGTTTATATGTCACCTCTCATCTCACATAAGTCACTGCAAACAAATATTGGGACGTTTTTCTTTTGTAATTTTGTTTTTTATTCATAGCGTACTGTAATGTGATATTTTTGCAAGACCACTTTTTTTATTTTTTTGCACGAAAATTCTTGATAGTAAGTTTTTTTTACTTGATCTATAAATTAACTCTGTAAACATCTATTAATCTATGCTAGTATGAGGCAAATTATTACTATTATTGTTATTTTTATTATTATTATTATTATTATTTTATTATTATTATTATTATTATTATTATTATTATTATTATTTCATTTTTGATCTATAATGATGTAATTTTCAATACCACTTAAAGAACACAAGGAGACAACGTAAAAATGGTAGTTTGTCTCTTTCAATCAGTTCTATCTTACACATTTACGCCCTATGATTGCAGTTTTCAAATAGGTAAATTTGTGAATGGTATCAAACATTCCCTTCTTTACAGGTCGCAAGGTTTTTCTAAACTGAAGGTGAATCTCTAGATTCGAGATATTATTCGATATGCCGTTTTAAAATTCTAACAGAATTTTGGGATGATTCGCATGTTATTTAAAGAATAAATTACAATACGTGTTTATCAGAATATAAAATTGCTTGTAAATTCTCTAGGGCGATCAGAGAATATATGGTATTTTTGGTTCAAATTTGCACATATGTAGGTGATTTTGAGACAATTGAAAATGAGAACTACTTTCAATTCAGGAGAAAAATAAATTGTGAAAAGTTTAGTAAATCGAGATTTTACTGCCGCCACTTCCAACCAAGTTCGGTAATATAGACAGAAACGATAATACATTATTTTCTGACGTGGATCACGTCTAACAAAACACAGTTTTGCCATTGAAGGTATTGAGTTTCCCCAAAACCTGAGTAAGTATATTTTTTATTCGACCATTATTAGAATGTTGTGGAAGCTCCTATTTCATTCTTCACACTCGACAGCTAAAGGCATACTCACGTTATGTAGCCACCGCAGCTTTTTCCACGCCGGATTTGCTTTGACGTGACACTCGAAGTACACGTCGTCCCCTTCCTTGATGTCGTCTGGGGTGAGCGTCGACCCGAGGCGAAGAGAGACGATGGGCGGATCTGTGGAATAAAATAGAAACACGTAAGAATATTCTTAGGAGGACATTCTTTCGTAAAACTACTATAAATTATTTCATTGGCTTCTCCAGAAATATTAGAAACTAATACAGAAATAATAAGATTTTTCTTCCAGGGACTTTTTCCAGCTTCAAGGGATGTCGATTTTCGACTATCTGTGCCTGGTACCCACTATGTCGCTTGTGAGGACACACATTAACCTTTACAGTAGACACTGACACACTTGCGGGCTCCTCCGTCTGTGGTCAGCAGATTCACAAAGCCTTCCGCGACAACACACATGAAACACAAGGGTCAAACCACAATACCCGCGAACCCGCGACCCTTCTGACCGAGGCGGTGACTCGGCACACACTCTAGCCACATCGGTCATCCGGATTGGGAAATAATCAGATTCAATGTGTCATAAAATTCGTAAAACAGTTTTTTAAATATAGGATACTTAAAATCAAAGTAGAAAGATCCTGAACACTTTGTACATTACGCATTTATCACTAATTTTTTTTCAAATTTATTTTGTTAATATTCTATCACCTTCCTGTCCCAACATGTCACAATATAATTTCAGAAACGAGTATTTTTCGAAAAGCTGTTAGATTATTATTATTGTGATAATAATAATTGTAATTCGAAAAACAATTAATAATGTTCATATAATCTTGAAGTAGCTGTTTGCAAAGTTATTTTCTTCTTCTTTCTTTCTTTCTTCACAGAAACAACGATGAAGAACTGCGATTGTAACTGAAATCTCTCCTAAGGTTATTGAGTGGCGTATCCATCACACAAACGCACGAGCGGCACGGCAGTCGTGGCGCATGCATCTGGAATTTTGCCTCAAACCGAACGTCCCCCTCACCCTCCCAGCGCCCTTCGGAAAGGCAACATTCCCGCTCGGGCCTCCGCGCGGCTTCTCTCCGCCCTCAAGAACCCAAATAGCCCGCGCCCGCCCCGGTTCGCACACATACACGCGCGTCGACCAATTGGGCGTCATACGGGAACTCCACCGCCCACGAGATAACAAGCAGTAACCAGCGGCCGATTCGCCCCGTGCGACCACAGAGCTCCCAACGCCGCCGCCGCCGCCGCTGCAACCGGCTAATATCATTTCCGCTACTTCCCACAAAGCAAGCGCCTGGTGCAGAAGCGGGGGCGCGATGCCGCTCAGCCTAGCGAACGCGTGGGAAGCGGGGGGGG